GTGTGTGAGAGAGAGAGAGAGAGAGAGAGAGAGAGAGAGAGAGAGAGAGAGAGAGACTACAAATCCCCAAGGGCATATCCAAGTAGCTATATTAAAAATTATCCTGTTTCCACCAGGTCTCTTACTCTGCCAACTATACAGACACACTGTGGAGTGAACTGCCGTGTGGAGTTTGTAAGCATATCCCAACCTCTCTTAGTTCTACTTCTGCACGTCCAGAAGGACCTCACACTGGGGGCTGCAGTGACAGCTCAGTTAAAGGCGCTTGTATCTCTTCCAGAGGATTCGATTCCTAGCATTCATATCAAGGGGCTGACAGCTGCCTGTAACTCTAGCTCCAGGGGCTCTGATGCCTTCTTCTGTGCTCTGCAGGCACCTGCACATGCACACATACACACACGCACGCACACGCACGCACACACACGCACGCACACAATTCATCAGGGAGATTGGCTACACAGGCATGAAGACTAAGTTCAGATCCTTAACACCCGTATAAAAACCAGGCATGGGGGCACGTGCCTGTAACCTCAATGCTGGAGAGCAGGGCAGAGACAGGCAGATACCAGGGCCAGCCAGGTCAGCTGATCAGTGAACTACAGGTCAGGTAAAGAGCCCATTTTATAAAAATAACGGAGAGAGCAGTAGAGGACGTCATCCAAAGAGTCAGCCTCTGGCCTCAGCTCCCATGCACAGGGAAGTACAACTACACACACACCGTCTCTCTCTCTCTCTCTCTCTCTCTCTCTCTCTCTCTCTCTCTCTCACACACACACACACACACACACACACACAAGCCTCGCATGTGACTGAACGTCCTGGCCATATCCACTGCGAACTGTTTCCATGTGTAAATCACTCTGCAGAAAATGACCTGTGAAGGTTGAGCAGGGAGGAGGGACAGCAAGGATGTGTTTGAAGGAAAGGATCTACCTTTTCAATTTTTCTGTCCCACAAGAAGACACATGAGGACAAATGAGAAAATAAGGATGTAAGACAGGTTCCGGCTAAATGACCGTTAGATGAAAATACAGGGAGAGAGAGAAATCATGATTGCACCTCACCAGAGCATGTTTGAGAGCCAAATCCTGTCTCCCAAAGTCCCGACGGGCTTGCCCAGGCTTCTGGCTACAGGGGCCATCTGAGGGAATGGAACTGCACAGAAAAGGTGCAATCAGGGCGTCTGAGCGAGTGGCAAGTTCTGAAGAAGGGAAACTGGCAGCATCTTATTGCTTCTCGTTCTGCAAATACTGTCTCCATATTCTTTCTGCCAGCATTGGGAGGCTTCCTTGGGTCACAGCAAAACGAGCAGCTGAAGTCTCATAACGGGGCAGAACCTACACAAGAGCAATAAAAGTCGCCTTTCCTAAGCAATGCCCAGGCTTCACCTCTGTCCATCCTCACCACGCCTCCTGCGGTTATGTTACAGAGGCGAGGCTGTGGAATTGTCTGACACGGGCTCTGGAGAGCAGAGCTGCTCTCTCTGGACCCACCCTTCGCCACTGCTTTGTTCTGCACAAGCCTTGTTGCTCCCACAGTAGCCCAGCTCGTCCTGGTGGAGGCTAGACCAACTCTCCTCCTCACTCTTCCCAAAGGCATAGGTGTGCCGACGATTGTCCAAAGCCGTGATCTCCTCAAAGGCATGAGCCATAGCTCTTCTCCTAGCTCAAAGCCCTGAGTAAGAAGATTAACTTGGGGTCTGTCCATGTCACTGTGCCTGTGTCAGAATGGAGGCTTGGGCAGCAGCTTCCAGTGTTTCAAATGGGATAAAAGAGGAGGCTAGAAGTAGAGGAAGAGCGAAGCCTTTGCTTCAGGATGTAAATGAAGGTAGTGGGGGCGTGTCTCTCATAATCACTGCCTTAGTTAGGGTTTCTACTGCTGTGAAGAGACACCATGACCCCGGCAACTCTTACCAAGGAAAATCACTAAATTGGGGTGACTTACATTTTCAGAGGTTCAGTCCATTGCCAGCATGGCACAACACGGTGGTGTGCAGGCAGACATGGTGCTGGAGACAGAGCTGAGTGGAGTCCTGCATCTTGACTTGCAAGCAACAGGAAGTGGTCTAAGACACCGGATGGTATCTTGAGCATATATGAGACCTCAAAGCCCACCTCCACAGTGACATAGTTTTTCCAGCAAGGCCACACCCACTCCAACAAAGCCACACCTCCCAATAGTGCCCCTCCCTTTGAAGGCCATTTTCTTTCAAACCACCACTATGACCCTGAATACCATGCCTTGAAAACGAGGAAGGAGAGGTTATGGGTTGGTCCCGGGGCTCATACATGCCTGGGACTATAATACTATTCTGTAACTCGTTCTATTCCGAAAGCAATGGAAGCACTGGCCTACCTGTAGTAAATCCCCTCATGCACAGGCACAACCAAGATGGTGCTACGGCTGGCATGCAGGGCATGCATCGTGAACACCCTGCATGCAGGGCATGCATCGTGAACACCCTGCATGCAGGGCATGCATCGTGAACACCCTGCAAATGGTCTCCACTTCCCACCAACAACCAAGAAGATAGCACGGATGTGTTTGCTTTCTTCTCGATGCCTTTTAAATCCTGTGTTGGTCAGCCGTCTGTCGCTATAATAAAATAACTAAGGCAATTAGCTTACAAAGTCAGTTTGGGGCTTGTGGTTCTGGACGGTTCATAGCCCATGATGGGGGTGGTTTCGTTTTCCGTGGGCCTCCTATCCTGATGGGAGCAGGAGTCAGAGATAAAGCAGCTAACATCAAAGCCAGAACTGAGAGACAGTGTCTCTCCATCCCTTCCGTGGCCTGCTCCAAGTATCAAGGGACCTCCCATCACGCCCCACCTCCTGAAGACCTGGCCCATCTACCACTGGCAGAAACGCAGACTCTCTTGGGAGCCTGTCCATCTCACAGTCAGTCTCTAGGCCTTTACTGCTGGCCTTTGGGGGACTTAGAACATCCAAACTAAGGCAAGGTTTACAATTTAGCCAAGCCCACAGTCCTTATTAATCCTTAATAAGGTTGACTCAATGGGCTTTTCCCTTTTACATTAGCTACTGCCCCCTAAAGACATGCGTGATCCCTGATTGGCTGAAAGGAAAGTCGGGTGGGGGGGTTCAAACCCTCCCTGCTCCCAGTGAAGCCGAGCCTCAGCGCTGGTCTCTGCTGCTCTGCAAACAGACAGACGGACTGAACTGTGGAAAAGCTTGTTAGCTACAGATGGGCATCAGCACAGTGCTGACCGTGACCACTGGTGCCTACAGCCACCTGCCCTCAGCTCTGCTGCCTCTTCAGGCTCAAGTTAAATTAATCCAGCAGAATTCAGGACACAGGCAATGGCAGAAGGAAGGGCGGCAAATGTCCTCCTGCGGGATGTTACTGGGAAAAAAGGAGAGTGGTGTAGCGAAGCTCTGTAAACAAACGAGATGGGGGCCAAATACCCAGCA